CCCCCCCCCGAGTCTCAGCCCTGACCAGGAGCGTGCGTGCACATCCGGGAGGTTCAGACGGCTTGCTGGAAGCAGCAGGGCGCAGAGCGTTTCACAGCAGGCCAACTCCGGACCTGCAGAAGCTGACCCTCTCGGGGGGAGAGCGGCTGTGTGGGGTCTCTGGGTTCTGTGTCCACAGCCCCACGAAAAGACCAGCATAGGTCTGGCACGGTGCTCCTCCCCTCTCTTCCTGTGTCCTCGGGGAGCCTGGAGAGCAGCTCTCCTACCTCGAAACCATAAGGCTAGAGCTGCAAAGGCATTAGGATCCTGCCGGGGAGGCACCGGGAAGCCCCCAGCGTCTCCATAAGGCATCAGAAATGCCGTCACATTTGAGATTCATACCTGCCAGTAGACATTTTCTCCCCTTCACCGGGAATAAGACAGGACTTCCATGGGAAATCCCTTTTCCTGGTAGAAATCCATGCAAAAAAGATGGGATAAAGTCATTTCATACAAAAACAGCAACGAGGAATAAAGTACCAATTGCAAGTGGCAATGTTGTCTGCTGTATTCGGTAAAAGGCCAGTCGAAAAGGAGGGCTTTTTTTCCAGTTAAAATAATTTATAAGTTTCCTCACTAATTGCCACCGGGAGCAGTACTTCTTCTACAACACAACTGCTAGAGTTGTCACTGAGGATCCGCCGCCAGGAGCTAGATAATCGTACGTCCCAGGGGAAAGATGGCCGACCTCTGCGCACCAAGCCTCCAATTTTCAAAGGTGTAAAAAAAAAAAAATTTAATAGCCCTTTTCATTTGTCTATGTTGGCCTGAGATTTTTCCCTTCTGGTGAAGTTGCTTCTGTTAATTTCAGTTTCCAGAAGTGCTGGCAGGTGTCTTCTCAACAAAACCTGGAAAAGCTTCACCTTGAGAGAGAGCTTGCTGGGCCCCTCACGCTGGTTTCCCAGTCAATGTGCCAACCCGGGATTTTTTTTTTTTTTAATATAAACATTCAAATGAGCATACGATAAAGCTCATTCAATTAATGCAACTATGTAAACCAAGAGAGCCGGATGCATGAGAATAGCAAGTGCGCTCTTCCAGAGGACTGGAGACCCACACAGCGGAGGGCGGCCTCAGCTCAGGCGCCGCTGACGCCGCGGCTGCCTCCTGTTTCACGTGACTGCACGTCAATCTCTGAGATTGACACGAGAAGAGAAACCATACACTGCGTACGCGCTGAGCCTCGGCGGGCCCCCCAACCGTCAGAGTGAGAAAGGACAAGTTTACGAGACGAGGTGTCCCACCAACTTCCCCCCCGGCCCCGTGTGCATGTTCTGAACACACTGGCTCACCCTTCTCAGTACGCTCCGAGAGGAGAGGGACAGGCGAGCCCCCCTCCCCTCGTCAATCCGGCTCCTGGGGTGACGGCCTGCTGGAGGCTCGGGCTCAGGAATGCCCCGCTGAAGCGTTTGTTACAAGTGCCAGAGGGCTAGGCGCGAGGTCCGCTCCCGCCCCTCCCGCCCCTCCCGCCCCTGCAGGCTCCACCCTACCTAGAACACCCAAGGTGAGTTTCACACTCCAGTCCGGAACCGATGGCCATTTCCTGTTGGACAGTGACATCCCAGATTGCTGTCATTAAAAGAGAAGGGGGCTGGGAGGAGGGGGCAGGTGGGGGCCAAAGGGCAAATGGGTTCGGCAGACACAGCTGTTCAGAAAATCCATCTCTGGATTTGCTTTTGCGTTTTGGAAAACAGGTTGGGGCCGCTTTGATTGGAGGGAGAAAAATTTCTTCTTCGTTGACAATGGTGAGTTGAGTTCCAATTTTCTCCACCTCTTACGCGGCCTTTTCCCCCCAAGCCCGCCCTCCCCCC